TATATACAGAAACATTTTGCCAGGGCCTGCTAATATAAGATAAATTTGCAAAGAATAATCTGAACTTACCATTTTGTAGGTGGTAGCATGATTAGTGGAATTCTGTTTGTCAGGGAGTTTTAAAAAGTAGTTCGAAACTCCTGTCAAACTGTAAAAAACTGAAGAGACTCTTTGCTACTCTCTCAGATTGCCTTCCCTAGACCTGAAATCCTTTCTTCCTTTACTGAATTTTCTCTGTGGATTGACCTACCCAGTTAAGCACACTTGCCTTTTGAATTGTGTTCTTTTCCCTGTGTTGCAGCCTTTGCCATTAAATGGCTTCTCTGTAGTAGCTAGGCACTCCTGAGTGTTGATCCCAGCTCTCAGAGAGAGGAGGGTTTCTTCCCATTGGGCAGGTGGGGAATTAGGCCATGTAGGGTGTCAGGAGAATGGGTAGCCAGGTCTTCCAAAGCCAGCCCTCTCTCACCTCGTAGAAGTGGTATGTATTCTTTACTTACTGTGCCTGATAGGATGAGCAGAGTTACCTTTCTGTTCTGCAGGAGTCTGTATGAAGCAGCACAAGAAGTTGACGCAGGCCATCCAGAAAGCCAGGGAGCATGGTGAGTGTGAGGAGGGGTCCTGAGAAGTTTTGTTAGACACCAAGAAGGTGACTTCGGGCTAGAGAATAGACATAAATGTTCCCACCTATCTGAGAAGTTAGTACCCATCATGTTCTTCCAAATCTTTTTCATCACTGATGTCCCTTATTCCCTCTCCTGAGTCTGTTACCTTGTCCTTGTCCCCTTGTTCCTCCTCTTTCCTTTTTCTTCCCTCTTTTTTAGTCCCAATGCCATAAGATGGTCTTTGTATAAATTTCTGGCCCTGGCTCCATAATTCCTTTCTATAAGTTAGAAAAGGTGCCCCTCCATTATGGCAGATGCAGCGTCACAGCCCTGGCACAGGGCTGCACAGCTTGGTGGGGGAGAGCCCAGGCAGTGTGTTGGCTCCCACTGTGCCCCTGGCCACCTGGCCTTTGTGCAATGTACCCAGTGGCTGTGACTGCTTCCTTCTTCCTCTCTAGGTTGTTCTCCTTCCTGGCTCTTAATCTGAACGGTGCCACCTTGCTCCCTTCCCTCACTTTCTCTCTCTTTTTTTAAATCCCCTAGGTCTCCTTAGTTACCACATTCCCCAGGTTGAACCTCGGGACCTTGACTTCAGTAACTCGCATGGAGCTGTGAATGCTACTCCACCAGCTCCCACTCTGGTTTCAGGTGACCCCTGGTACCCTTGGTACAGCTGGAAACAGCCACCAGAGAGAGAGCTGTCCCGCCTTCGTCGACTGTATCAAGGCCATCTCCGGGAAGAGAGTGGCCCCCCGCCTGAGTCAATGCCCGAGGTGGCACTCACAACAGGAGCTGAAGCCTCCACTGAGCACGCGGGCTCCCAGAATCCTCTGTAGGAGCTGTGGACTGGGCAGGGTGCGAGGGGTGGGGAGATAATGCCTAGGAGTTACATGATGGGGTGCACCCTGAAGAGTTGGGTCTGTTTTATGGCCCACGGCAGGTCCAGGCTCAGTGAAAGGAAATGATGGTTGTTGAAGAGGATAAATATATCCGAGGCTGAGGGAGAGCAGCAGAGTGCATGTGGGAAACCCTAATCCCCCCGCAGTGCAACTAGATGGGCTCAACCTTATGTTGCTGCCAGCTTGGCTTTTCCACAATAAAGCTCTTCTGTCTGCCGATGAGTCTCTGCAAATGGGTGCTGCTGTGGGAGGGGACTGGTCAGGCGGAAGCCCGCCCAGCCTGGGACTCAGGACCAGAAGCCCCCTCGAATGGGCGCTGGTGCCCTTCTGCCCCGACCACGTTTGTGGGCCCCGTGCCTGAGGCAGTGCTCCACGGCGCACCCCACCCAGCTGTTCCCTGGGGCCGGGGGCGGGGCGGGCCGGGGCTGGTGAGGAGAGGAGGGCTCCGGGGCGGGGATTGCGGGCCCTCCCTGCAAAGGAAATAGACCCCAAGGGGCGGGGCGTCGGGGCGGGACGGAAGTGACGCTACGCGGGCGGGGTTGGCCCTGCACAATGGGCCATGGAGTTCCCGTTTGATGTGGACGCGCTGCTCCCAGAGCGGATCACGGTGCTGGACCAGCACCTGCGGCCCCCGGCCCGCCGACCCGGAACCACAACGCCAGCCCGGTGACATCTCAAACCCACCCCGAGGCCCTGCTCTCCCGGTTCCCCTAGAAACCTGGTCCCGGCACCACGCCCCCTTCTCACTGACGATGACCCTCCTTTTGATGTCCTGGCTCGACCTGTTGGTGCCCTTTCGCCCTACACTTAGAGGGATTGAGCTGCACTTGGATCTATGACATTCCACCCCTCGGCCAAAGGATGTGGTTGACCCGCCCTCCCTGCTTCCCCACAGCAACCTCAGGGGAGGAGGGGGTGTGGCAGAAGTGCAGGTTCCAGAGGGTGGGATGGGAAAGTCAGACTGGAAGGCAGCAAGGTCAAGTCCTGCTCTTCAGTGCTGAGCCTGGGTGGGAGCTGTGGCCAGGGTCCTGGGAATGACTGTCAGAGCCCTCGGCAGTGACTCTCCCTCTGTCCTCTCTATAGTGTTGATGTGCAGCAGCAACTTATGACCATCGTAGATGAACTGGGCAAGGCTTCTGCCAAGGTACTGGACGCCCGGGGACAGTAGATAAGGGAGGCCTGGTCCTTTGGAAGGGACTTGCAAAATGCCTGTCGTCTCCCTGGCAGGCCCAGCATCTTCCTGCACCCATCACCAGTGCATCGAGGATGCAGAGTAACCGCCATGTTATGTATGTGCTCAAAGACAGCTCCGCTCGACCGTGAGTGCCACACGCTTTCCATCGCGCACTCTTCCTCCCCAGCCCCTTTCATGTGGACTCTCTCAGAGAGCTGCTACTCGTTTGTTCATTATCCTCCCCATCCCATAGGGCTGGAAAAGGAGCTATTATTGGTTTCCTCAAAGTTGGCTACAAGAAACTTTTTGTACTGGTGAGTGCTATTGGAGGCTGAGAGTTCATATGCCTTGATTCCCCGAAAACAACAGTTCTGAAGTGTGGGAGGTGGCAGCAATGTCTTGGTCCTGAAAAGATACTTGTTGTTCTTTACCTCTTAGGATGATCGTGAGGCTCACAATGAGGTGGAACCACTTTGCATCCTGGACTTTTACATCCACGAGACACTTCAACGCCATGGCCACGGGCGAGAACTCTTCCAGTATATGTTGCAGGTATCACTTCTCTCCACCCGTCTGTCCGAAGGGAGAATAAAGGCCCCTTTGCTGGGAGCCCTACTGGAGCCTCTGCCTCCCCTCCCCAATGGCCCCATGTCCGATTCCCTTCCCAGGCTCCAGAGTTCTGTTGGCATGTTCTCCCCACACCTTCTCCTACCTTGAGTCTCCTGTTCCCTGCAGAAGGAGCGAGTTGAACCACACCAACTAGCCATTGACCGACCCTCACAGAAGCTGCTGAAGTTCCTAAATAAACACTACAACCTGGAGACCACAGTCCCACAGGTTAGAGGTTTCAGAGGGTAGATCCCCACTGAGCATTCACATTGAATTTATTATTTGGGGGCAAGGAATTTGCACCTTCCAAGCACATTCCCCATCATATAGGATTCATTTTATACAACTAAGTGTATATTGTTGTTTTTTTACCATGTCTCATTTTGCAGTTATTTTACTCTCATCTATTTTGATTCTTCATCATCGTGTCCCAAATATAGCCAACTCATTTTCACCTCCTTGTTTTTACAAAGGCCATTACTTACTAAATCAACATTTATTAAGGGCCGATAATAATATACATTTTCTGTCTTTGGGGAGCTTTGGTCTAAACTGAGGAAGGTGGTTGGTTTATAAGTAAATGCAATATAATGTTAGTAATACTATCCATTCACTTAACAAATATTTATTGAGCATCTGACACTAGGAATATTTTACTCAACAAAACAGGTAAAAGTTTCTGCCCTTGTGGAGCTCATATTTTATTTTATTATTTTTTCCATGTGATTTTATTTTATTTTTTCTTAAGAACAGGAATTTATTTCATACCATTGAGACTCCAAAAATCATTATTGGCTTTTACCTGAGAGGGTTTGTCTTTTTTTTTAGTTACACGTAATTTTTTTTTTTAATCTTTATTGTAGAAAGTATTATATATTCCCTCCCGCCCCCATTGACTTATAGCCCGCTCCCACCCAAGCCTTCACCACCCTATTGTCTGTGTCCTTGGGCTACGCATATATGCACACAAGTTCTTTGGTTGGTTATCTCCCACCCACCTACCCTCCCCTATCTTCCCACTGACATTCTGCACTCTGTTCTATGCTTCCATGTGTCTGGATCCACTCTGTTCATCATTTTATTTTGTTAGATTCCACATATGAGTGAGATCATGTGATACTTGTCTTTCTCTGACTGACTTATTTCACTTAGCATGATACTCTCCAGGCCCCTCCATGCTGTCTCCAAGGGTAAGAGATCCTTCTTTTTATTGCTGCAGAGCAACCCATGGTATAAATGTACCACAGCTATTTATCCACTCATATACTGATGGGCACATGGGCTGTTTCCAGATCTTAGCTATTATAAATCATGCCGCTAGGAGCATAGGGGTGTATACATTCTTTCTGATTGGTGCTTCAGGTTTCTTAGGATATATTCCTAGAAGTGGGATCACTGGGTCAAATGGCAGTTCCATATTTAATTTTTCCCCCCATATTTAATATTTTGAGGAAACTCCATACTGTTTTCCACAGTGGCTGCACCCGCCTGCATTCCCACCAGCAGTGCACTAGGGTTCCCTTTTCTCCACATCCTCGCCAGCACTTGTCATTTGTTGATTTGTTGATGATAGCCATTCTGACAGGTGTGAGGTGATAACTCAGTGTTGTTTTAATTTGCATCTCTCTGATGATCAGTGACTGTGAGCATTTTTTCAAGTCTTGGCCATCTGGTCCACTTTGGAGAAGTGTCTATTAGGTCCTTTGCCCATTATTTAATTGGATGGTTTGTCTTCTTTCTGTTAACTTGTATGAGTTCCTTATATGTTTCGGATATTAACCCTTTATCAGATGTATCATTGCCAAATATGTTCTCCCATGTAGTGGGCTCCCTTTTCATTTTGTTGATGGTTTCTTTTGCTGTGCAGAAGCCATTTATTTTGACGTAGTCCCATTTTTTAATTTTCTGTTTAGTTTCCTTTGCCCCAGGAGATGTATCCATAAACATATTGCTATGAGAGATGTCTGAGATTATGCTGCCTATGGTTTCTTTTACAATTTTTATGGTTTCACGACTTACATTTAAGCCTTTTATCCATTTTGTGTTTTTTTTTGTCTGTGTTGTAAGTTGATGGCCTAGTTTCATTTTTTTGCATGTATCTGTCCAATTTTCCCAACACCATTTATTGAAGAGACTGTCTTGACTCCATTGTATGTCCTTGCCTCCTTTGTCAAATATTAATTGAGCATAATGGCTTGGGTAGATTTCTGGGTTCTCTGTTCTGTTCCATTGATCAATATGCCTGTTCTTGTGCCAGTACCAGGCTGTTTTGATTACGGTGGCTTTGTAGTATAACTTGAAATCTGGTATTGTGATTCCTCCAACTTTGTTTTTCTTTTTCAAGATTGCTTCAGCTATTTGGGGTCTTTTTGGGTTCCATATAAATTGTTAGAGTATTTATTCCAGATCTGTGAAATATGCTGTTGGTATTTTAATGGGATGCATTGAATCTATAGATTGCCTGGGTAGTATGGACATTTTAATGATGTTGATTCTACCAATCCATGAACACGTATGTTCCTCCATTTGTTTATATCTTCCTCTGTCTCTTTTTTCAATGTCCTGTAGTTTTCTGAGTACAAGTCTTTTACCTTCTTGGTTAAATTTATTCCTAAATATCTTAAATTTTTTGTTACAATGGTAAATGGGATTGTTTGTTTAGTTTCTCTTTCTGAGAATTCACTATTGGTGTATAAAAAAGCCATCAACTTCTGGGTGTTGATTTTGTATCTTGCTACATTGCCAAATTCATTGATTAAATCTAGTAGTTTTTTGATGGAGTCTTTAGGGTTTTTTTTTATGTGCAGTATTATGTCAGCTGTAAATAATGAGAGTTTTAATTTCTCCTTTCCAATTTGGATACCTTTTATTTCTTCTTCTTTTCTGATTGCTGTGGCTAGGACTTCAGTATTATGTTGAATAAGAGTGGTGAAAGTGACATCCTTGTCTTATTCCTGTTCTTAGGGGAAATGGTTTTAGTTTTTGTCCATTGAGTATGATGTTGGCTGTAGGTTGTCATACATGGCCTTTATCATGTTGAGATATGCTCCCTCTATTCCCATGTTGCTAAGAGTTTTTATCAAAAATGGATGTTGGATTTTGTCAAATGCTTTTTCTTTTTTTTTATTGTGGCATGCATTTAATTAACTTATAAAATGTTAAAGAGAAATATGTCACATGAGTAACTTTTATAAAGTTTTATTATGGTACTAGAGGCCCGGGGCATGAAATCATGCATGGGGTGGAGGCCCTCATCTTGGCTTGCACCCTCTCCAATCTGGGACCCTTCAGACATCCCTCTTGCAATCCGGGACCACTGGCTCCTAACTGCTCACTTGCCTGCCTGCCTGATCGCCCCTAACTGCCCTCCCCTGCCGGCCTGATCGCCCCTAACTGCTTCTGCCTCGGCCCCCACCACCATGGCTTTGTCCAAA